ACTGATGATGCGCACTTGGCTTTATGCCCATTCTAGTCTTTATAGGATATCTATGGTACCAACTAGAGAACTTTTCCAAGGGAGTAATTCAGCTTAAATAATAGAAAAGCTGTAGTAGTGTGCTAAAAACAATATGCATGGTGTAATTATAATACCAAAATTAAATGTTGATTATGGAATTTATTTTCTATTAAAATGAAATTTTAAACTTAGTGAAATGGGACAAGAGTTCAGTAGGTGGTCCGTGTATAGTAATATTCTAGGAAAATATATTAAGGTGCACATGAGATAGACGAAAAAACCTTTTCAATACGTGTAGCCAGTGGTTACTATATCCACTTTACGGCAAGTTCACGCCAATCTGGTTGAAATTAATTCAGCTATCTTCACTCAAAGTCGTAAAAATAGACCTCCCGTAAAAACGACTTTGCCAATTATCGAAAACACTCTTGATCCCCTCAGACGCCAGTGACGTAACAGTGACCGAATGCATATTCGGAATGTTTATTCCTTAATTACCTCTATACAGCCAGCGTGTGTATTCTTTAACGCCTGACTGATTCCCTAATCTCCCTAATTAGATAAAACAATTGACTACGGAATAATTTGTTTTGTAATTCATTTTAATTTAAGATCCAATTTAGAAGGCCTACAACTTTTAAACTTTGAAGTCGTGAACAATATGGAACTTATTGGACGAACACTTTTAATATGTAAATAATCTACGGGTCCAGCTATGTGGTTTTTACTGCGAGCACTTAGCTTTTCCACATAGAGCCAGCGGATTCTTTTTCCCCGCCGGGTTTTTTCTATCCCCTCTGATGACGCCAAACATCAGTCAGTTGTTTTAACTTTATTATGACAAAGGGAGAAGATGATCCGCCCTCTCTTCTCACGACGGCGAATTTATAAGTGTGCTTTAAGGATCTTTTGGTATCTGAGGACCTTTTTATTTTGTGTTTTTAACAATTTTCAAGTGTAAATAATTTAATTCAATCAACCTGTCCATAATATCATATTCATTGTATTGGACGTTAAATCTGTAATAAACAACACCAACAACATAGAATTTGTTTCATAATGTACGGTCGCTCTCTTTTCTCACGACAGCGATTTTAAAACCCTCTACAATTGTGTGCAGTCCAAACGATTTGAGATACATTTTTGTCAGAAGAGTATTGTGGTTCTAATGTCCCCGAGTAAAAGAGTACAGGAGTAAAAAGATGTGGTCATGCAAAATGTATCATAAAATTCAAACATGATTGAAACGCGATTTGTAAATGACAATTCGTTATCAGATTAACTAACTATATCTCGTTTTCCTGTAGCCATCGTACGGCGCCTTTCTTTCTGCATGCAGATTTGACTTAATTACTCTGAAATAGACCGTAAAAATGAAATACGAAAAAATATCTCAATATACGTTAGAATTAACAGTACAAATAAATTTTGTTAACCATCTAATACAGATTGAGAAGGGTCATCTGACTATCTTTATGTATTGATAATAATATGGCAAGTGTGGTGTCGTTAATATCTGTCATTAATTAATCAATCCGACTATAAAAGTTATACAGACATGGGTCATAAATTAATTTACACATCGGTATTAGCAGTAGGTGTTAGTGGGATTAAGAATGATGATTAGGTAATTATCCTTTTTTACGCCGGCCAGATCAAAGACATCACTCTAGATGGAACTTGTGTGTAATACCTCATGAACAAACTGATGGTAGAATCGTACACACACACATTAATTGTAGAAAATAATTAAGTTTTACTCATCAGTTGTTTATAATTAATATTTACCCAATAATTATTGCGCACCGGTGTTTTTGTAATCAAGTAGACTGGTATTATTTGTTGATTGGTGTTTAAAAGTATTTTACAATACCAAACGGCATCAGGAACTCAAGGTATGATCAGGTGTTTTGATATTTATGTCCATGAATCCTGTGAAATTTTCGCTCCAAAGTTTAACCTCATTTACTACACCTGTAGTACATGGAACTGTACATGGTAATAAAATTCCCAGCGTTGATTGGCTGAGAAATGAGGGCGATCTATTGTTATGCATAGTCATTGGAACATTCCATATTCGCTGTAAATTTCAAATGGAGTTATGATAAAAGTTGTTCTTTATGTATAGAAATGGTTATTATTATTATATAGCTAATAATGAATATATCGAAAAATGACTGGCACCATTTGTATTTCTGTAGTTAAGTTTGGAATATCAAGTATTACGAGGTTATCCAAATTATCGGTAAATGCGCTAATTTCTTGAGTCGTCTTCGTTTGACACATGGCCTATTTGAATAAAGGCAGCTTAAACGGGACTACAACATTTTAAATTCACTCTAAAATATTCCAATCACAAATGTCTAATCTATATATAACAATGTAAGACGATAATTCGGTGATTATGATTAGGCCAGCCACTTGGTAACACTGAGAAGTAGTAAAGGTGAGATTTGTACGTTTACAGTATAGATTTCGCACTTTTTAGTAAATTTCTACCAATATCGGTAAAATTCTAATTATCGCAACAAATCTAATAAGAAGAGGGTAAAATCTGTAGGTACGGTGTGTTAATTAACAGGGGTGAGAAATTGACTGAAAGGTGATATAATTATCGCTAGGGGTGAAAATCTCGGCGACGGTGCGTTTTCTGTACTGGTGTGTTAATTAACGAACGGGTTAAAAACGACTGACACGGTGTGTATTCTTTGTTTGGTGAGTTTTCTCGAAAGCGTGTTATAACTGCAGCAAAGGTGATTTATCAAGGACCAGCAGGCTTTATCTGACGCGTAGGTGTTAAATCTAATTTACCGTGCGATTTTTTGTTCGACACAGTGTTTTTTTTTACACAAATCGGTCTTTGTTAAGTGTAGGTCTTTATACATGGATTTATACGTGGGATAGGTACGTATATCCTTTCTTATACGTATTTCATTTCTTGATGAATACTACGTGTTTTGTACTTCGTACCATAGTCGGACTGCAGTTATTTATATATTTGATCTTTTTGTGGGTTAAATTTGTTTACAAATTATCGTGCGTACCACTGAACTATAAATGCTCGTATCTTAAAATTGATCACACGCAGTACCGTCATTTCCCGATATCATAACCAACCCCAATTTGATTATCCGATATATTCTAATCGCCATTGTTATCAGATTAACGAATCTTGTTTCGAAAGCAAGTTTATAAATGTAAAATTGCACAATTAATGAAAATCTATAAGTTTTCGTCACTGCTATATTTACTACACGTTGGCTTATTAATATATAAATGTATAGTTTCTTGCCTGGGTCATAGAGAGGACTACCGAGAAAAAGGAATTTCCTCACTATATATATCAAATGCTAACTCACATAACAAATAACACTGATGAAAATAGAGACATGCGCCCGCTTCCACCAACGGTAATATTGCCCATTGCCAAACATTATTCAGATTTGATCGAACTCTGTGTAACAAGCTCGTCTTTGAAAGAATAATACTGATATATGACCTAATATTGAGACGCTTGTTCATATAGCCGCTTGTTTTCCATTGTATGAAATAGCTTTATTAATTGACTCCACAGTACTAAGAAACGACAGGTTCTGTATTGGTTCGTGCACACTTTTCACACGGAACTGTTCTTTGATGTTTACAGGCACAAACAGTTAGCTCTGTACGCGTCAGATAAAGCCTGCTGGTCCTTGATAAATCACCTTTGCTGCAGTTATAACACGCTTTCGAGAAAACTCACCAAACAAAGAATACACACCGTGTCAGTCGTTTTTAACCCGTTCGTTAATTAACACACCAGTACAGAAAACGCACCGTCGCCGAGATTTTCACCCCTAGCGATAATTATATCACCTTTCAGTCAATGTATGTCAAAGACCTAAATATCGAAATATGAAACCTTTTTATTTCTTTGACATTTCAGCGACTCGAAGATTCGTACAATTCTATCATCCGTATCCACGTGAATTCCGCAAAGTGTCATGGTACCACACTTCTGTACTAAATCGAATACTTCGCCGTTGAGTTGTAGAATTCAGATTTTAAAATATCCGTAATAAATTGAATATCAAAACACGAATCACACCTGTGCATGGCACTGTATTTACATGTAACGCGTGCGAAGGACAGATAATGCCACCTGGAATTCCCTTCTCCCATATCCGGACTATATTTACGCTATATTTTTCCGACCTGATTATTTGATTGTGTCAAATTGTCTTATAAATTATTCATAGCCTTTATTTATGGAAATTGTTTAAAACTTTTTAAATGATTAAATACACCAAGCATGTGCATTTCCATTCCACTATCTGTGGTGTCGTTACGGTAGAATTATTTCAGGTGACTTGGGGGTGCGTTTTAATTTATCTAGATATAATACTCAGTAATGCTATAAACTAGTGTCAAGCAGATGAAAACAAGCGTAGATTGTGCAAAATTCATTGTTATAAAATTGTCTACTTCCAAACTGTGAGTAACTGTAGGTTACGACAGAGCGATAAACAGTGCAAATGGTGGCTTTTCACAGCATTTCCGTGCTTAATTCTTGCATTTAGAAACGAATTATTAAATGTATGTGACGTGGATGTGAGTATTGTGGTCAATTAAATAAACATCAAGTAAAATTTAGTCCACCTGTCGCAAGCGGCAGGTAGTTTTATTTGCTACCTGTCAGACGAAAAAATCCCCTATTGGCGACAAGTAAGTAAGTAAATTTTATTGCATAAAAACGCCCACGAGGAGCAGCATACAATTATAAAAATTACATAAATACAATACAACAAATATACATGTAACAAATAAACGAACATTAATACTACAATGCAACAAATATACTTGTAGCAAATAACAAACGTATTATATATGTATATAACTAGAAATCAATTAAATAGCAAAGGGGGATAATAGGTATGTGCTTCCTTTTGGACTCTTTTGTTTCAGAGTTAAGTTATGTTATTTATTGTAAATAAGGCAGGGGGTGTAGCAGATAATGCATCACTCTCTGTTTTTGAAAGCATGAAAAACAAATGATCACACAGGTTTTGCAACTGGTGAGGGTGGGTCAAACATGACATCGAAGGAGAATGGTAGACTGTTGGCGTATAAGGCAGGGTACAAAATATTATTTCGAATGGTTTCATGTTTTGTACATTCCATTAGAAAATGAAACTCATCCTCCACAATATTGTTAGAGCAGTGTCTACAAATTCTGTCTCTTTCGGCAATGTTATGGTACCAACCTCTCTCTATTTGAAGTTGGTGAGAGCTAAGGCGGAGGGATGTCATTGAACATTTATACTGTTTGTTAGATACGGACAGGAGATATGCTGGCGGTTTTGAAATTCTTGTCATAAAAGTGCTGTATGTTCTAAGTTTTGGCTTATGGCTGGTATTGTTATCATTCATATTACAGGTATTTGAATAAAATGAGTTGAATTTAGATTCTAACAGGGATTTTATATTATATTTGGAAAGATTATTGATATTAATGTCATACTCATTTATTATTTTAAGGATCGCGGCAGACCAGGAAAGTTTGGGTTTTTTAAACGCAATTTTAACATCTTCATCTAATACTGCTGTCAAGATAGTGTGGGAATGAGATGGATTAGATTTTAGATCATTCAGTCGTTTATAATATAACAACATTTTGTGGTACACAGTGAAGTGAAGAGGGAAAAGTCCAAGTTCAGACAGGCAGCCAATATTTGAAGTTTTAGGGGGCTGCATTAGGATTGATTTCGCTGTTTTCTTTGTTATTGAATTTAATTAAATTCTGTTCCAGTTTTTTGTGGTATTGTTCTTGCTATGAGCAATATGAGATCCCCAGAGTTCAGAGGCATATGTAGCGATGGGTTTAACAATTGCTTCATATACTTTCAGTAAAACTTCAGTTGGTAAATCATCACTGCCACAAATTTTATTGCGTAAGATGAACCGGGCCCTTCTAGCTTTCTTGCTCAAGTCAGCCATAGCTGCTTTATGTGAGCCATTATTTGTAAAATTAACCCCTAAATATTGGTACGAAGAGACATGATCTATTTTGCTATTTCCTATATTAAAATTAATGACAGTTTTACTTTTATTACATTTTTTTGTTAGAAAAGCACATAGCTTAAGATTTTTGAAGATTAACATTTAACTTCCAATCCTTACCGAATTGGTTAAGTTTATTTAAACTGTTCTGTAAGCCATGGGGTGTAGTTGACATAAGTACAAGGTCATCCGCAAATAATAGATGGGATACGTTACAGCTTTCTAGAGTCGGAGCGTCATTATGTAGGTAGTAGGTATGTAGGTTGGACTGTAGATCATTTATATATATATATTGAAGAGAGTTGGACTCAGGACACACCCTTGTTTTACTCCTGCATTTGAAATAATAGGGAGAGATATACTATTGTTTTTTTATACGCCCACATTTTCATGTGGACGTATTATGCTGTCTGTCCGGATGTCCAGACGTCCGTCCGTCCGTCCACAATTGTTTCTGGACACTCTACAGGTCACAATTCTTATCCAATTTTGACGAAACTTGAAATATAGGTTTATCTCCAAAATACGAAAAATCACGTTTTTAGCTTGTGGACACTATAGAGGTCACAATTTTTATCCGATTTTGTTGAAACTTGAAATGTAAGTTGATAACTGAAAGATCTCAGTTCCTTTCGATATTCGCGCATATTGGAACGTAACTTCCTGAATTATGGCCCCTGATTGTACGAAAAATCACGTTTTTAGCTTGTGGACCCTATAGAGATAATAATTTTTATCCAATTTAAAAAACCGTATTATTATATCACCGTTACACCCTAAGGGTGAATGAATTTGAATTTCATGAAAATCGGCCCAAAATTGACAGACAAAATGGCAGCCGTTCGTTCTCAAATAGCGTAAAAATATGGTATATCAAGGTTGTGGACCCTATAGAGGTCACAATTTTTATACGCCCACATTTTCATGTGGACGTATTATGCCCTCGCCCCTGTCCGTCCGGACGTCCGTCCGTCCACAATTGTTTGTGGACTCTCTACAGGTCACAATTCTTATCCGATTTTGACGAAACTTGAAATATACGTTTATTCCCAAAAGATCTCGGCTGCTTTCGATATTGGCATGTATCGGATCGAAACTTCGTGGATTATGGCCCCTGATTGTACGAAAAATCACATTTTTAACTTGTGGACACTATAGAGGTCACAATTTTTATCCGATTTTTTTAAAACTTGAAATGTAAGTTTATAACCGAAAGATCTCGGTTCTTTTCGATATTCGCGCATATCGGACCGTAACTTCCTGAATTATGGCCCCTGATTGTACGAAAAATCACGTTTTTAGCTTGTGGACCCTATAGAGGTCATAATTTTTATCTGATTTAAAAAACCGTATTATTATATCACCGTTACACCCAAAGGAAGGTTGAGTTTGAATTTCGTGAAAATCGGCCCAAAATTGACAGACAAAATGGCCGCCGTTCGTTCTTGAATAGCGTAAAAAATATGGTATATCAAGGTTGTGGACCCTGTAGAGGTCACAATTTTTGTCTGATTTTGTTGAAAATTGAAATGTAAGTTTATAACCCAAAGATCTCGGTTCCTTTCGATATTCGCGCATATCGGACCGTAACTTCCTGAATTATGGCCCCTGATTGTACGAAAAATCACGTTTTTAGCTTGTGGACCCTATAGAGGTCATAATTTTTATCTGATTTAAAAAACTTTACTATTATATCACCGTTACACCCTAAGGAAGGTTGAGTTCGAATTTCGTGAAAATCGGCCCAAAATTGACAGAGAAAATGGCCGCCGTTCGTTCTCAAATAGCGTAAAAATATGGTATATCAAGGTTGTGGACCCTATAGAGGTCACAATTTTTATCCGATTTTGTTGAAACTTGAAATGTAAGTTTATAACACAAAGATCTCAGTTCCTTTTGATATTCGCGCATATTCAATTGTAATTTCCTGAATTATGGCCCTTGATAGTAGGAAAAATCACTTCTTTTTTTGAGCTTGTTCTCTGTCCATCTCTTGCAAAATGTGGGCGTATCTTGCATGGCAACCGCTTGTTTGTGAATGGGACAATAAATGACTCACCCCAGGCTTTGGGGAATACACCTGAGAAAAGAATAAGGTTAAAATACTTTATATAGTTGTCAATCATAATATTGAGCGATGCAATCAGCATGTTTCTTTTAAGGTTTCTAAATGCGGAACGAACTTCAGAGGCAGTGATTTCTCTATTTAAATCTGTATTTAATTTTGAATTTTTTACTTCATTTTCAAATTGCATATTTAGTTTATTATTATCTGATAATGTGGTATCCTCCTTAACATCATATAAGGAAGTGAAATGTTCTTCCCAATTTTTGAGAGAGATGTCTTCATTATTTTTTTTATTATTGTCTTTAATAAGGCAATTCACAAGTGACCAATATTCTTTAGGATTATTAGTTTGCAGATCATTTAATTTGTTGAGAATTTGATATTTAGCCTTCATGGCTCTTGAATTTTGTTTATTATTATCTGATAATGTGGTATCCTCCTTAACATCAAATAAGGAAGTGAAATGTTCTTCCCAATTTTTGAGAGAGATGTCTTCATTATCTTTTTTATTATTGTCTTTAATAAGGCAATTCACAAGTGACCAATATTCTTTAGGATTATTAGTTTGCAGATCATTTAATTTGTTGAGAATTTGATATTTAGCCTTCACGGCTCTTGAATTTTGTGACCTTTTTATAGGTTTTTTTCCTCTTGTAATAAATTTCACGTAACAGATTTTTATTAGGGTTGTTATTAAGGTTATGTTGTGCTTGAACCATATCGCGTTTGAGGATTCTACAATTTTTATCAAACCATTTGGTTTTTTACTATTATTTTTTACCTCAACAAGTTTGACACTTGGTTGCATCTAGAAGAATTTTTGAGTAGACAGGCAAACATTTCGAGCCATGAGACCTATGTGTACATACTGCACGCAGCGACCCATCTACGTCATACTTCCCAGAATGTGACACTGCACTGATTATCCGCCATTTAAAACGATCATGTGATCATTTTGGGGCGGGACTTATCGATTCGACACCGCTTTGTTTAGACAACAAAGTAAAAATAACCCACGCACGTGTGTTTTATGTAAACATGGCATGTCGCTGACACTCGCGTAAAAGCGATATATAATATGTACTATGGGTAATATTGCAATAGACTATTTACCATTGTAAACTGTCTTTAGAGTTTCAATCTGTTTATCTTTCAAAACAAGGTTAGATACTCCTAAATTTTTTTACGCAAACAAAACCGCCTCTGTGAAATTATGTTTCATGGGCGCCGCCATATTGAATAATTAGAGGACTATTTTGTGATTCGGCTTTGATTAGTTTGACATCTTTCATACACACAGCGGCTAAATAAACATATTTAATTTCATTCAATATGACAATAGAAGAGAAATAAATACTTTTAAAATTTTCTAAAAGCATACTCAGTGTTTTCGACTAAAATCGTCGATGTTGGAATTTAAATGTCGGTTAATTAGCTTAGGGCCTATTCTTAGCCGGAGCTAGCTGTAGATAGGCAGCCTAAGTTTGGGATGCTATGTGTAGTGCCTGTGACGTCACCAGCCAATCAACCGGATAAAGGTCTTAATTGAAAAATAAAAACGGGTTTTGGCATGTCGGATATTTAAACGTTAAAGTGCATATAAGATGGGTTTTGGAACTTTTGGATATGTGTAGCCAATGGTTACTATATCAACTTTACGGCAAGTTCACACCAATCTGATTGAAATTAATTCAGTTATCTTCACTCAAAGTCGTAAAAATGGACCTCACGTGAAAATGACTTTGCCAATTATCGAAAACACTCTTAATCCCCTCAGACGCCAGTGACGTCACAGTGACCGAATGCATATTCGGAATGTTTATTCCTTAATTACCTATATACAGCCGGCGTCTGTACTCATTAACGTCTGACTGATTCCTTAATCTCCCTTAGTTCTTAATTAAATAAAACAATTGACTTCGGAATAATTTGTTTCATTAATTAATTAATTTTAATTTAAGATCCAATTTAGATTGCCTACAACTTTTAAACTTTGAAGTCTTGAACTCTTAATTAATTTTTTACAATATGGAACTTATTGGACGAACACTTTTAATATGTAAATAATATACCGGTCCAGCTATGTGTTTTTTACTGCGAGCACTTCGCTTTTCCACATAAAGTGTAGTGTCGTTAATATTTGTCGTTAATTAATCAATCCGACTATAAAAGTTATACAGGCATGGGTCATAAATTACAAGTCGGTGTTAGCAGTGAGTGTTAGTGGGATTAAGAATGTTGATTAGGTAATTATTTTTTTTAACGCCGGCCAGATCAAAGACATCACTCTAAGTGGAACGTGTGCATAATACCTCATGAACGAACTAATGGTAGAATCGTACACCCACACATTAATTGTATAAAATCATTAAGTTTTACTCATCAGTTGTTTATAAGTATTATTTACCCAATAATTATTGCTCACCAGTGTTTTTGTAATCAAGTAGCCTTGTATTATTTGTTGATAGGCGTTTAAACAACAATCGTTTATCTTCTTTTTAATAAAAGTATTTTACAATTGCATTGACAGTTTAATCACTCACCAAACGGCACCAGGAACTCCACGTATGATCCCGTGCATTTTTCGTGCCGAAGTTTAACCTCATTTACTACACCCGTAGTACATGTAACTGTAAATGGTAATAAGATTCCCAGCGTTGATTGGCTGAGAAATGAGGGCGATCTATTGTACATGTTATGCATAGTCATCGGAAAATTCCATATTCACTGTAAATTTCAAATGGAGTTACGATAAAAGTTGTTCTTTATGTATAGAAATGGTTATTATTATTATATATAGCTAATAATGAATATATCGACAAATGACTGGCGCCATTATATCAAGTATTACGGGGTTATCCAAATTACCGGTAAATGCGCTAATTTCTTGAGTCGTCTTCATTTGACATGTGGCCTATTTAAACAAAGGCAGCTTAAATGGATCTACGGCATGATACGGCATTTGAAATTCACTCTAAAATATTCCAATCACAAATGAAAGACGATAATTCGGTGATTATGATTAGGCCAGTCACGTGGTAATTGGAACGTCAACAGACGCTTGTCAACTTGCCGTGTGTATTGATAGTGCTATATTGTACAGACGGTGAGATATTGTATAGATAATGTATATCCTATGTGTAGTGCCTGTGACGTCACCAGCCAATCAACCGGATTAAGGTCGTAATTGAAAAATTGAAAAGCGTTTTGGCGTGTCGGACACTTAAACGTTAACAGCCGACTTAATTTTAATCAGATTGGTGAGAAGTTGCCGTAAAGTTGATATAGTAACCATGGGCTATACATACATGTAATTTAGATTTTCGATCTTACGTGGTCTTTAACAGCCGATTTAATTTTAATCAGATTGGTGGGAACTTGCCGTAAAGTTGATATAGTAACCATGGGCTATACGTACATGAAATTTAGATTTTTGATCTTACTTGATCTTTAAGTTATTCATAATGATTCATTTAGAATTAATTGATTTGGAGTTTAATTGTTGTTTTTCAGGTTCTTCATCATCTCAACCTCCTTCATTTACCAGCAGACGTCCCGAAAATGCTCGATATGTTCCTGGACTGCACAAAACTCCTGATGATCAATCTTAATAGATTCTTACACTATACATGTACTAGTATATGTACGCATCAATCAGAACAAAAAACTGGAGAAGAAATTCTTGTCTCAGTAGATTAATACACTATACTAGTATATACGGTAGTCAATTAAAACTCTGAGAGAAAGTCTTGTCTTCTCAGTAGTTTTTATATGCCCACATTTTCATGTGGGCGTATATTGTCGTTGCCCATGTCCATCCACAATTTGTTTGTGATCACTCTACAGATCACAATTTTTATACGCCCACATTGAAATGTGGTCATATATTGTCGTCGCCCCCGTACGTCCGTCTGGGGTCCAAAATTGCTTGTGGACGCTCTAGAGACCAAAGTTAATATCCGATTGACTTTAAATTTATATACAGTGTTTAAGGCCATGAGACGAAGAAGCCTATTGATTTTCAGCGATTTCCGATAATTACTGCCAGAGTTATGGCCCTTGATCACTTCAAAAAATCTTGTGGACGCTCTAGAGGCCAAAGTTAATATCCGATTGACTTTAAATTTATACACAGTGTTTAAGGTCTAAATTTATACACAGTGTTTAAGGTCATGAGACGAAGAAGCCTATTGATTTTCAGCGATTTCCGATAATTACTGCCAGAGTTATGGCCCTTGATCACTTCAAAAAATCTTGTGGACGCTATAGAGGCCAAAGTTAATATCTGATTGACTTTAAATTTATACACAGTGTTTAAGGTCATGAGACGAAGAATCCTATTGATTTTCAGCGATTTCCGATAATTACTGCCAGAGTTATGGCCCTTGATCACTTTGAAAAATCTTGTGGACGCTCTAGAGGCCAAAGTTAATATCCGATTGACTTCAGATTGATACACAGAGTTTAAGATCTTGAGGCGAACAAGTATATTGATTTTCAATGAATTTTTATGACTTGGAACAGCTAAATCCATGATACAGTATTAAAAGTTTTGTATACAAAACGTTAGCATGGGGCAGAACTTTATAAAAACCAAACAAATTCTAATGGTTTTCTGAGTTGTTGCTCTTAATCAGATTTTAGTGTATTATAAATGTTTCATTACCGAAAAAAGTAAAAATATGCGACAACTGTTGTTGACTGCCCGGACGATTTAGCTGCTGTGGGCGTATGTTTCGTTGCCTGGCAACCTATCTTTCATACAATCAGGAGCCATAATTCAGGAAGTTTCTATCCGATATGCCCGAATATCGAAAGGAACCATGATCTTTGGGCTATGCATTTCAAGTTTCATCAAAATCAGAACAACATTGTGACCTCTAGAGGGTCCAAAACTTTGATATACCAGATGTTTACAGCCATTTTGTCTGGCAGTTTTGGTCAGATTTTCACAAAATTCAAACTCAACAGTGATATATTCGAATGTTTTTTTAAATCGGATAATAATTGTGACATCTAGAGGGACCTCAAGCTAAAAACGCGATTTTTCGTACAATCAGGGGCCATAATTCAGGAAGTTACTATCCAATATGCACGAATATCTAAAGGAACCAAGATCTTTGGGTTATAAACTTACATTTTAAGTTTCATCAAAATCAGAAGAAAATTGTGACCGTTTTGTTTTAAATCGGATAATAATTATGACCTCTATAGGGTCCACAAGCTAAAAACATGATTTTTCGTACAATCAGGGGATATAAATTGAGGAAATTACAGTCTGATATGCGCGAATATCAATAGGAACCGAGATCTTTGGGCTATAAACTTACATTTTAAATTTCATCAAAATCGTATCAAAACTGTGACATCTATGAGGTCCACAACATTGATATAGGAGATGTTCACACTATTTGCGTACAAGGGGCGGCCATTTTGTCCGACAATTTTGGTCCGATTTCCACGAAATTCAAACTCAACCACCATTAGGGTGCAACGGTGATATACATGGGCCATAATTCAGGAAGTTTATTTTCAATTTGAGCTTTACGGTATATTTCACACTGTATCGTGATACATTCCAATAAATTAGACGGTAGAACCTATAGCAATTACCTATCAGTTCTGTGTAAAGAAAAATCCCGGTAGAATAATATGCCCCGGCCCTTCAGACTAAAAATCATTCCAAAAACAGACCTACTAATCTCATGCAAAATATGACCAAGAAACTGATAAGACAATACTTTCCATTGGCCAAAATACCGGAAGTCATCAATTTAAACCAATTTTCTTTTGACTATTACTATGACCACGTCCAGTAGTATTTACACTTGTCTGAAGTTGCGATAAAAAAAACTACCTGCATCATACCGATCAAAAGTATGGGACCATTTCGTTTTTTCTGTTACGTAAACGGTAAGAGGAATGTCATTAGAGAAATTTCATTGTGCAAAGTATGTCATACCCAATTACAGTATACAGAATTGTATTCATGTATATGTAAATGACTTCTGTTTGATTTGACTTGATTGTCTTTGTGATTGCATACTTAATTTTGAGTCAGAGATTGTGTATTTTGATTCAATTTGAGTAAAAAAAGTGCCAAAAATATTGGTTAAATATTAATTTTATTTTATCTATTAAACATACATTATGCAAGAGATAAATCTGTCTATCTAAATTATTAATTAGACATTAATTAACCTATCCAGACCATAATCAACTCTAAATGGCATCGCTAGCCTGCGATCTTTAGTGGATTATGAGTCGATTTACTGCATAACTTTCCTTTACGATTTAACGATTAAATGGATAATCAAGACTATGCTGTTTATCGTACTGACTTTATTAATGATGATCGAGGCTAGGCGGAAATTGCCTTTATATTATCTAGTTATTAACTATACTATTCAAAAAAAGTAGGGGATATTTGATTTTTAAGTGTTATTAAAGTCACCTAATGAAACTGACGAAGAAACAAATGACAAAATGAAATGAAGTTCACATTCATCGATTTATTCCAAATGATCGTTAGACTAAGTAAGGCACAGACTGACCATTATAAGGGTAAAATGATACCCGGGGTCAAACAGCAAAGTTACCACAGCATCACAACCAAGTCAGTAACGGGTAAATCCTCCTCTGTTTGCCAAACAAGCATTGATCCGACGTGGCATACTCCTAATGAGACGTCTAAGGTCATTTTGGTCCAGATTGTCCCATTCCTGTTGCAACGCAGCAGCAAGTTCTTGGACATTGGCAGGACGTTGTTGACGTTGACGTAACCTCTGTCCAAGCATGTCCCAGACATGCTCGATGGGGGAGAGGTCGGGACTCAGTGCTGGCCAAGGTAATGTGGTGATGTTCTGTTGTTGGAGGTAACCTGTAACGATCCTGGCCCTGTGACATCTTGCGTTGTCATCCTGGAAGATGAAACGGCGGCCATGACGTCGTGCGAACGGCACAACATGGACTGCCAAGATGTTGTCCCGGTAGTACTGGCCTGTAACACGCCCTGCAACAACATGTAAAGCCGTTCTTCCAGCAACAGTGATGCCTCCCCACACCATAACAGAACCACCCCCAAATCGATCATGTCTGATGACGTTAACGTCTTGGAAGCGCTCGTTTCGACGACGCCACACCCTCCTACGTCTGTCCAAAAAATCAACAGTGAACCTTGACTCATCTGAAAACATCACATTGCTCCAGCGTCGATTATCCCAGTGTTGACGATCCCTACACCAACGACGTCTTGCCTGAATGTGATGATCTCTCAAACAAGGGATCACGCGAGGACGTCGGGCGCGAAGGTGACCCCTATGCAGTCGATTCCGAATCGTCTGTCCACTCACTCTCACACCAGTGTCTGTTTGAAGACGAGCGCTGATCTGATTTGCTGTGATGACACGATAAATCGATCCTGGGCTTGAGTTGTCGCCCTTGGTCGACCTGAGCGTGGTCTGTCCTGTACAGATTGTGTATCACGGTATCTGGACCATAGCCTGCTTATGACAGACTGAGAAACATTCATCGTCCGCGCCACAACCGCCTGTGTTGTGCCGATCTGTAGCATGCCAAGGGCACGTAACCTTTCATTTTGGGTAAGCCGACGCATATCAAAATTTGTTTTCTGGTCACTAAAACAATTAAACTGATGTTTCCACCCTGGAATTCAATGCCACAATGACTGTAACATTCAAAGTCAGAGTCGTGCAAATCTTGGGTTGGACCCCCATGATGATCCCAAGCATCACCTGCATTCCATGCGGTAGCTATTGGTGCGTTTGGGCGTCACATGTAACTGGAAATGTTTCTTCTGTTAGGTTCTATAGTGACTTTTTTCGTAGTCATTTGCATATTTTAGTATTATGCCCCCAAAATCAAATATCCCCTACTTTTTTTGAATAGTATATTAAAGTCAAAACTACCAACTCGTTATCAAATCTCCCATAATGTATCTTTAATAAACAGTATAAATTTGAATCAATTTGGTCAATTTCACAGTAAAAGAGTGCATCCCGTGTTGTTGGGCTAGGACATGATACTGTATCATATCATGGCACAGCGTATCATTTCAGTCTTGTGCTGCTACGGCTAGTTGGATAACCACAAATGGTTAGAATTGGGCAGTTAAATGGTTCGAATTGAATGGTGCGGTTATTTGGAGATGTCCACCATTACATAGAGTTGTGTCCCATATTATATTCCTCTTTATAACAAAAGTTGTCCGTTGTCCTGTTGTATTGGATATTTGAAAAACTTTGAATGTAACTGTCGCCCTACGATGTCGACTGCTGAAAAATAATACTATTTATAGCACTCGTAGTCGTATGGCAAAGTCAACAGACCTTGTTCTGACATCTGCTATTGTTAATCCAATCCAAATACTTCTCCCTGGCATTTCTGACTTTATTCTACCTAGTTTAATATTTATTTAAAAATGTAACCACCATTCAAAATATAATCATAAAGGTTAGTAGTAGATTCGTTATGACATTCTACACATTTCATATCTTGTAATTTCTCGCGAGAATTCTACTTTGGGTTTTAGTTAAATTAACCAATCATAAAAATTCTACTTGCAAGACCAAAATTATTTCTTTATTGGCCAATCAACAGACACCTTCCAATTTACTTTATTCTATTGTTAGTTACATTGTGTGATCGTAATACATCCTAAACTTAGGCATGCAGTATGATCGTAATATTATCACCATATCTCACGTTCGACGGGAAACAGAGTATT